TGAACTTTTATCCAAAGTTTCTGGAAAGTCATAGCTGCAAACAATTTCTTCTGCCTTTACTTCCATCTCTTTGAGCAAAGTCGGCGAAAAAATGCATCTTAAATCAAGCATACCTGTACCACAACCACCAAGCTCCATAGGAGGGCATGATACTTTTTCAATATCATTACACTTTGTCCACTCGGGCAATGTTGAAATACCAATTAAATCATCACTAGAGATGTCATTTTGATCCAAAATATGGCTCTCATTGTCAACACAGGTGTCCATCGGATCAGGTAGCTTCAACATAGATGAGTTAATTTCTCCAGAAGTTCTTCTGGAACATAATTTCTCACAACAACTTAAGCATAGGCTATACGAACAACTAACACAGCTTCTATGGAGATCCAGGACAGGTGTTCTGCAGTGATTGCTGAGACGGGTGCAAATTAGTTAACAAACAGATTGGCATTTTTTAATAGCATATGAAAACAAGAACTTACCAATTAATATTTTCATTGTAGCCAAATTCAACCTGCTTGATTTGAATATCAGAAATATTTTTCCCTGTTACACAATATAGCATCTAAAATACATTTGTAACGAACAAAAGCTGCTTTAGAAAACATCAATGTTAGAAGAATGAAAATAATTACCTTTAAATTTTGCTTTTATTTCTAGCTCAGTTTCCCGGTCTTCACTTATTCGCTTTAGTACTGGAAGGAGCATGCAGATCAAATAATGATAATGCAGTATTCTATCAACTCTAATTTTACCGGTCAAACAAGGCTGAAACAAAAGGTCAAAAATTGAGACGTCAGAATATGCTAGTAAGAAACATTCCTCATGTGGAAAAGGTTCCATGTTTGATGTCAGACCTTACTTTCACTGTCATTACATTGACTTCCCAAACAGTCCTTACATGTGCAAGTTCTTTGACAAACTGGACAAGCCTTCTTCACTTCGCTTCGTGTGTCCAAATACCTGTTTGTATCAAAAAGTTTTAGCAAACATCTCATTTTTTATTTGATTCTCAATTCAAGAGCAACAGACTACAGAAACCATTTTTGTAAACATCAAGCACTAATCATCATTAAACCATCTGGTATAACTACTTCTGCAAATTATGGGAAAAAAAGATAATGATTCATTAGCATGGTTTCCTGTTTTCGGCTCATTTTTAAATTTCATGATTCTTAACCTCTGTTGACAAAGATAACCCTTCCACACGTCTCTCTTAACAACACCAAAAGGATCTAAATAGGTTTTTAACATATGAAATTGGTCCTTTTAAAATTAAAGTTTCTGCTATGCTCCAAAAGAATAACAGATAATTTTCATCCCTATAATTAATTACAATCAAAATCAACAAGTTTTCAAATAGGGTTAAATAGCCAACAAACACATGATTCAAATCCCAACAAAGTAAGAAATTCAGTGCACCATAAAACTTAGAAAGAACTGTAAACATAGAGACATGACACAGTAAATGAATGTAACAATAACAAACTGTTCTCTTATGCATCCAAAGCAGAAAAACTCCTTTTGACAGCTAGAACACTGGACGAGATTCACAGAATCACTTCTCTGGCACCAATGACACTTCTTCCCCTTAGTATTCCCCTTCTTCAAGTTTGATCCATTAGGCACAACCTAAACAAAGAGTTAACTCAATAGAGAAACAAAAAAAAAAAACACAGAATTCAGAGACATAGATAGAGACAATGGAAGCAACAACTGACCTGCAACTTGCCAACAGCCACCCTATCAATATTCTTGGACCTGAAGTAACGCGGCGTTACAGCTACAATCTTATGCTCAGCACCGACTTTCACATCACAATGCGAACTTACATTGTTATAATCATGTGGCATTAAAGCCGGAGATATTTCCATAACCCCATTTGGTAACTCCTTCCTTAATTCAACTTCTTCTGTTTTAATCTCCTTTTTCTTCTTTTTCTTCTTCTTCTTGTTGCTGCCGCTAGTGTTCCCTTTTCTCTTCTCAACTTCTCTCTCCAGAACCATCCTAATAAGATCCAATTGCGTGTCACATTGCTTCATTGTTCGCTTCCTAACAGAAAGAGCAGCAGGAACAGATGCAGATGCAGAAGGAGTATCAGTTAACGATTCGGAACCCTCGGAGAACTTCCGCTTCTTCTTCTTGATCTTCCTCAGCTCCATTTTGAACTTACTATCCGCCTTAGCTGTTTCGGTTTCCGCATTATCCATAACAGCAGTTTCTTCGGTGTTTTTCCGCTTCCTCTGAAGCTTCAGAGACTCTGGAACTTTCTCTCTGTACTGACGATGCTTTCCTTGAAGGTAGTGAATCTCGCAGAGCTTCAGATCATCCATCACTCTCCGCTTGCACCGCCATTGCTTCCCGTCGGTTCGGCCGCACCGGAGATGGTCCGGTAGAACCTCCTCGTTCGCCGATGCTGATTCTTTCTTCATTGTAATCTAGTTTTTTTGGACAAGAATTGGATGAGGGAAGTTAAACCTAATTTCCCTGTGACAGAGAAATTCTGCACAGAGCACACGAGGGTAAGGGGAAAAAAAAAAAAAAAGAGGGTATTTATTTTTGTTTGTTGTTAAAGAAAACAAGGTATGGCATATTCTTGTAATTATTAACAAATACAAGTTCTAATTTGAACAAGTAGGATTGTACTTATTATCGGTGAACTCAAGATAACTTCTGTTCAGCATTCAACAAAGTAGAATCCTTTACTGTCAAAACAAAAAACTATAGGTTTTACTTTTACTTCTACTTTACTACTATTATGTTACTGTATTTAAACTATGTTTGGATTCAAGAGATAGAATGGAGTGGTATGGATAATAATAGTATGAGAGAGAATAAAATGTTATTGTTAAGAAGTTGGACCCAATAAAATTATATCTATTTTGTTTCATTTAGTCATTTATCGTTATTTTCTTATTGACTTTTGTAAAATGTAGTACAGGAATGTCCTTTGAATTTTCTCTTTTTTTCCTCTCTATTTTTCTCCATCTCTCGTAATTTTACTTGAGAGAGGAAAGAAATAAAGAGAAAAATTGAATGACGGATTCAAACTCGATTTTACTAGATAGAGTGGAAAGAAACCGAGAGAAAATGTGAATGAGGGATCCAAACTCGATTTTATTAGAAAAAGTGAAAAGAAATAAAGAGAAAAATTGAATAAGGGATCTAAACTCGATAATATGAGTTTGACTTAGTTAAAATATGTGATCATGGTTTTTGTAAAGTTATAGTGACTTAAAATATGCACATGACAAAATATGTGTATGTATTGAGAAATTGTGTATTAATATATTCAATAGCTATTAATATGTTTTGCGTTGGTTTGGTTTTTTTTATGTTATCTTTCTGATGTATTTAGTGGTCATTTATTATTTGTATTTGTGTTTAGGTATTGGAGTTTGACTTATGTAACATTAATTTCGATTGTGTTATATTTATTATTTTGTTTAATTTGTCGTTTAACTTTTTCTCGACTATTTAACTTTGAATTGCAAAAATTTAAATGAGAATCGCAACAAATATTTAGTTTTTTGTTTGTCTTTGTGATTCAACTAACATTTATTATTATTATTTGGTGATGTAAATAGAGCACTAACTTTTTCTTTTGCTCTGGAATGTGCGTTTAGCGAGATGTCATGCATTCTTTGTTGCATTTTGCTTTTAAATTTGTGCTTTTGATCAATTTTAAAAGACTAACTAAAAAAACTGTAAAAAAATGGTTGAGTTGAGCGCCAACAAACATTTGTTTAATGTCAGTAGCTTGACAGTTGTGAGTATTATGTGATACTGATAACACTAAAATGCATCACATATTTAACTCGATGTACGCATGTTTTATCATTGTTTTATTGTTATTTCTAGTGTTATGTTGGTATTTTGCATGTATTCCAGGTGTTTGATCACATGGGAGCCATTTGTGAAGAAATGAAGCAATTTACCGTATAAGAAAATTTTAGTTTTTGGATATAACCTTAATACCCCCTCTTAATTTCTTGCATGTGTTAGCTTATAAGTACAAAACATTGTCATTTTATACCCTCGACATAACTAATCAACCATACATTAATACCTAACTATGTAATTATCAGACAAACCCCACTTTTCCCCTTATTCCTGACTAAAACCTTAGGAACTAGCAAACATTTCTGACTTATCAACTACACATGCTCTGCCATCTGCACGGTTTATGGAGTATCTAATCAAAATAGCTAATGTGTTTCTACAATCAAAACATTTGTTTGAAGAATCATTTATCTCTCTCTCTCTCTCTCTCTCTCTCTCTCTCTCTCTCTCCTCTCTCTCTCTCTCTCTCTCTCTCTCTCTCTCTCTCTCTCTCTCTCTCTCTCTCTCTCTCTCTCTCTCTCTCTCTCTCTCAGTCGACCGTGTCTTTTTCCTCTTCCTCATGATTCCTCATCTTCTTCTTCTTCGTCTTCCTCACCTTCATTCTGTAACCACCTTTTCCTGCATTTTTCTTTCTCTTAACCTAAACTCTATGCATTTCATCTCTTCCTCTCTGAACTTAACACAATTTATGTCGAAACCCTAAGTTTGCATCTGAAATGGTGGATCTAAAGTGTAAATCGAAGATGGAGTTATGGTTTTTTGTATGGATTCATGGTGACTATGCGGTGATGATGGGGGAGCGCAATTGTAAATGTCGGAGCTTTCATGGTCGGAAGTTTATGGCGGTAATGACTTGTCTAATTTCATGTTTCATTTTGGAATTTCTTTATGTTGTTTTCTGTATTTAGTTTAAGTTGTATTATGGAAATTATGTATTATATTTTTTATCATTTGGTATATTTTTAGGTTTTGTCGTGTCTAGAATTAGGTCTGGTGGAAATCTTTCAAAGCAGCTGAACTTTTGAGACCACTATGAGAGCTCTAACCAAGGGGGAATATTTCAAAGGAACCCACTTAAAATTATTATCCATGGGTATGAAGGTTAGACTTATGATCCTAAGCTTGCAAAACTAATTACTCTAAGCTTTGAGTACATGGTTAAATTGGCTAATGTTGATGGTTGTTTTTTACTAATTTCAGGTATGCTGAAAACTAATTAAGGCGGGTTTATAATCTGTTGATGGGATGATTGGACATGTAAAGGTTTTTCATCTGTTTTTTTTCATTGATGTGTTGCTTCAACTGTTACTCAACGAACTGGTTGGAAATTCCATGTATGTGTGGAGGATTGCAAGTTTACGGCTAACATAGTTGTGCGGATATGGTCGAATGGAGTGATGAGCTTGGGTATGGACAATTAACCTCAGATATGCACTTGTGTGTAGATGATTATTTCACGTCGAAGTGGCTAGACATTAAGATATTTGAACAACGATGAGGTAATTTTCAATGTCGATGGTTAAAAAGCTTGTGGCAAGTAGTTCTGTGGTTGAATAATATCATGTTTTTTAATATACATACACCATCACTCTTTATAAATAAATGATAACTAAACCATTGTAATATCATATTTCAATTTCCTTTCAACTATACGATCTCAAGAAGCAGGGTTTTAGTAAAATACAAGAGGTACTTCATCTTATACCCAATTCTAAGGTTTTTGCTCTTCCTGTGAAAGAGCCTGATTTTTTGTCTCTTTTTAAACAGGTGAAGCAAATGGTGGTTGCTACACTTGCATAATCTGGTATGAATTTATTAGACGATGTTATATAAAGTATAATCGATAAGAGGAAATGTAATGAATTCAGGGAAAGAGGAAATGGAAGTTGTTTTGGGAATATAGGTGCTATTGATTTGTTTTCAAATGAATTCCTAGGTTGTCTATTTGTGATGTGTAAGTTAAATCATTTATTTATAAAATTTGTGTTCGTGATTGTGATTGCACTTTTTAAATTTATATTTGTATGAATGTTACAAGAGTATGTTATAGGAGTATTATGACCCGCAATATCTGTTTAATTCTGGAGGCTGATTCATAGACGTCAAAACTGATGGCGGCACGACAATTTGTTAAGTGGAAAATCAACAGTGATTGCTTTGTTGCAAAGACTTTATGATCCTGATTCAGGTGTCATCGCACTTGACGAGATAAAAATTTGTCAATTACAACTTAAGTGGTTAAGGCAACAAATGGGTGTAGTAAGCCTAGAGCCAGTATTATTCAATGACAATATACGTGCTAATATTGCTTATGGAAAAGGTGGAAATTCAACTGAAGCAGAAATCAAAGTTGCATCTAAATTGGCCAATTGCTAATATTTCTTTTATGTTTGTTATTTTGTTTTAGTCCATGTTAACAATATTATGTCATTTTGGTGGAATATTTTGACTTAATAGGGATATCATACAATAGTGGGATAGATAGGAACTCAATTATCAGGTGGACAGAACGGGTTCTGGTATGCAACTTTCGTGGTTATTTAAAACCTTTTTCAGTTTATGCATAAGTTTGAAGTGATTGTGAATAAGGATCTCACTTGATTGAGGATTTTCTCAGGAAGGCGTTCAAATCTTACAAGTGTAGAAACATGTTGAGGTAATATATTCTAATCCAAAAACTCTTATGTGTTATTCAATAACTCAATCATATTGATTGTGTTCCTATCATAGTACGCCTTTTGAGTTGGTTGACCAACACCAACAACTCAATAGATTCTATCAATGTACATTATGCTAAACAATTAATATCGAGTACTATAGAAACCAATTTATTATCTCTATGAAGGTAATATTTCATTATAGTAAACTCCAAATATACGAAAAATACATTTTGTTTTGATGTGCTGATTTCCCCCCTCATATTTTGTGTAGCTCTATGTAGAAGATGGGAAGGAAGTTGTGTCGTTTAAGAATGTAATTCTGGAGGTAAAACCTTTTTGCTCCTTACTTCGCCAATTTGTTTTTATACGAAGTAATTTGCTCTTTACTTCACCAGTTTGTAGGCAAGTTAAGCTTCAATTGAGTTTTAACATACTATGTGTACTCACTCTACTTTTTCCTAACGAGATATGAGATATGTTATGGCTGTCTAATTGCACAATGCTGTCAACACTAATCGACCTCAGAGGATGCAGAACAATTAGAGCTTTAGTGGACCTGATTGTGTATGCCTTAACACAAACGGTGTTGTCCAAATTAATGATAATATCGGACATGGAAGTTTAATCATATACATCAATGGAACTGCTTTCAAAAGTGAAATTATGGCTATTAGATCTCTGATGTTCTAAGAGATGTCGAGACATTGGATCCGACTTCACACACACACAACAAGATGAATAAATAAAAATAGCAGTGCTGAAAGTAAATAACACAGGATATGTTTACCCAGATCGGAACAACCTTCCTACTCTGGGGGTTGTAATTCCCTATTTAAATACTTAGTCATTGTTTGTTGAATTTGAATTGTTTTGGAATGTTATAGTGAAACTTAGTTTTGAGGGAAATTGATGATAATGGAATTATGGGATAATACTATTTTATTAATATTATAGTTATTATTAAAATTATTAATAGTGTTATTAATATTGTTATTAATATTGTTATTAATATTGTTATTATTATTAGTTAAGTGTTAGTAATAAGAAAATACAATAGAATAAGGTTAGACCAATTGGGAGAAAGACTATTGGCACGTAGAAACAGAGAAGAGAAGAGAGAACTATGGCAAAGGAAAATTCTCCATTGTTGAGGCATCAAAGCTGCAAATTAAGGTAACATGAGAGGGTAGTGAGGGTTCCTTTCCCTCTTTAGGTTTTTCATGAATGAATTGATGAATGCCTCCTTGGTCTGAATTTTGTTGTTTATACGATTATTGTGTGAAATTCGTGAACTTAGTGATGTGATTAACGTGTTGTTGTTGTGATTCTGCTATTGTTGTGTTGTTCATAAAAAAAATCTCAAATCTGAAAAATTGTAGATCTAGGGATATGACGAAAATTGATGTAGAAATTGGTGTAGAATTATAGAATAATAAAGTAGAATGAAATCCCAAGTTAATATGTCAAAGAATGTTGGTTTGGACCCAAATTTGGAGGTTGAAAGTGCTCAAAATAAGTGGAAATCATTCTGATGTGAAAACATAGTTTTTTGGTCGCAAACTGCCATTACGCGTAAGGCAAGCAGCGTTACACGTAATGCAGGCAGCATTACACATAAGGCAGAACAGGACATAAGGCAATACGTGTAACGCATGCAGCATTATGCATAAGGCAGGGCAAGATAGAAGGCATTACTCGTAATGCAGGTAGCATTACCCGTATGGTAGGGCAGGCAACAAGGAAATACGCGTAACACAGGCAGCAGTACGCATATGCGCAGGCGAAGGTGTAAAAATTCCAGTTTTCGCAATTTCTTCCTGTTTTCGCGTGTGAAGTGTATTTTCTCGATCCATAATGACTAGTAAGGCTTAGGTGGACATAATAAGGCTAGTAATAATAATAAATTAAGTTTAAAACATGGGATTTTATGTGGAATTTATGTTGTATGATGACAATGATGATAGTTTGTATTGAAGAATGTTGAAGGCTTATGCCTTATGGTTGTATAGTTATGTTGTTGTATACGATGTCGCATATTTCATAGTGATGAGGGATCATGCCCTATTGTTGGATTGTAATGGCGTTGTGATGAAGGCTTATACCCTGTTATTGCCCAAATTGGCATATGTAATGAAGGCTTATGTCCTGATGGTACCACATGCATTGAGTTGATGGTGGTCTCATTGCATTGCATTATTTTGAGTTTATGTTGTATTACGTGAATGATGTGTTATGTTGTGAAGTGTTGTGTGATGTGTGAATTATGTGATTACTACTCCTTAGCATGTGATATTCGCCATATATTTATTGAATGAAATTCTCACCCCTTTTGTGTTGTTGTGTCTGTGCTCCCCTGGGAGTACAGATAATCAGGTACCTGAGTAGTGCTTGGAGTGAGTGTTACCTGATCGAGTCCTAGGAGTCGCTCTGATATGTAACACGAGAATTAGGAATCTTTATTATGTTTTTATTAATTTCATTTTTTATGTATCTTCCGTTTTACTTATGTTGGACCATACATTTGTGGAGTTTTATTTGTTGTTGAAGCTATAAGGACATGGAATTAAACTAATTTTATTATTTCCCTGTCGAATTGAGTATGTTTGAAATAAAGAAGTAATAATGTGACTTTAAACTTTATGAATATTTAAAGTATATGACATTCTGCTTATGTACTCTGATATATGTTAATGTAATTGCTATTGTGGGGAAGTGGGGTGTTACAATTAGTATCAGAGCAGGTCGGTCCGTTCAGCCAAGTTGTTGAGTCGTTAGTGTAGTGTGATAATGGAATATTGTCAATGTTTTTCTATCTAACCATTATTTGATGTTTTGATGTGAAGCAGAGTAATGGCTGGAAGAGGAAATGGTGCACTTGCTAATGTGTTACAGGCTTTGGCTCAGGCAATGCAGAATCATCCTAATAGTGGTGGGAATGATGGTACTCGTGCTTTGGAAAATTTCCAGAGGAATCATCCACATAGTTAAAAGGGAATCATGATCCTGAAGGAGCACATGGGTGGCTCAAGTATATTGAAAGGATCTTTCAAGTCATGGACTATTCTGATGCACAGAAAGTGCGTCGTGGTGCGCATATGCTAGCAAGAGAGGCTGATGACTGGTGGGTTGCTACTCGCTAGAGACTGGAAGGCACAAGTGAGGCTATTACTTGGGTTATGTTTCATAGGGAATTCATGGTGAAGTATTACCCAGAGGATGTTCGTGGGAAGAAGGAGATTAAATATCTGGAACTGAAACAAGGGGATTTAGCGGTAACTGAGTATGCTGCCAAATTAGTCGAGTTGGGAAACTTTTATCCTCGCTACACGGAGGAGATAGCTGAATTTTCTAAGTGCGTCAAGTTTGAGAGTGGCTTGTGTTATGAGATCAAAAAGGCAATTGGGTATCAGTGAATCTGTAAATTTCCAAATTTGGTGAATAGGTGCAAAATTTATGAGTAGGACAGTAAGGCTCACTATAAAGTTTTAACTGAGAAAAGAGGTAGACAACAGCAGAATCGTGGGAAGCCTTACAATGCTCCAAATGACAAAGGCATACAGAAGGTTATTGATGGCATAAGAACCAGTGGGGGAGGTTCCCCTGCTGACATTGTGTGTTACAGATGTGGGAAGCCAAGTCACCGAAGTAATGCATGTACTAGAGAAGTGAAGAGGTGTTTTCGTTGTGGTAGGGTTGGGCATGAGGTAGTTGACTGTAGACACAAGGAAGTGATATGTTTCAACTGTAGTGAGGAAGGACACATCAGTACTCAGTGCCAGAAACCGAAGAAAGCTCAAAATGGTGGGAAAGTTTTTGCTTTAGCTGGAACTCAGACACCCAGTGGAGACTGTTTGATTAAAGGTATTTACTTCTGTAATACGGTGGGAGAACTTACTTTTTTGGTTTTATCCAAATGTGCGGATAGCAAGAGTCGCCACCGACTTTTATTTTATCCAATATTTTGGAAATATGAAAAGAACATGAAAGATCTTTGATAGATTTTGAGTTCGGGGGGTAAGTTATGAAAATGGAAGGTGTTAGCACCCTTTTCATCCATAGTTATCTACAGGCTCTTAATCGCTTATCTCACTTTTTTAAACTTGCTTTTGTGTGTGTGATTTGAAAATATTTTGAAAACGCCAATATAAGATTGACTTTGTAATGATTCTTGTATCAGTCCTCAAGAATGTGTACAAAATGTTTTGAAAATATTTGTTTGAAAGTGATTGTAAAAAATGTTTTATTTATGAGAAAAGTTATAAGTAAGCAATTAGGAGTTTCTTACCCACTAAGTATGGTCTTTCTTATTCTTTTCCTTCTCCTTTAGAGATAGTATTATCCATGCCATTAGTTGGTAGGTAATCCTATCTATTGGATGTGAAGGGACAGACGTAGGGTCATCGTATGATCATCGAAGGTAACATGTAAGGATACTTTAGCAATTGTATCGAAGGTACTATCATCATTTTGCTCGTAGGGTCATCGAAGGTACTAGATCATTTTGTAGGCAACTCGAAGGGTCATTGAGGGATTATGATCTTTATTCGAATGGAATTTACTAAAGTATCCCTATTTTCGAGGGACAAAACCATGTTTTCGAGAGATAACAAAGGGAGGTTATCCTAGAGGTGTGTGTATGAATAATGATTCAATTCAGTTATTTTTATCTTGAATTAGGGTTTTCTATCGATTGATTTTATTCTTTCCATACAAACC